CTACTCTACTTTTAATCTATATACCATGGTATGCAGGTTCTCTGTTGCATATCCATCAGGCTATCTCTTTTCTTTCTTTCCCCGTTTCTCTACCTCTCTTTTTACTAGCCTGTAAAGTGTTATAATAATAATAATAATAATAATAATAATAATAATAATAATAATATTTTTAACTTGTTTTACCCTGTTTGTTGAATAATAATAATAATAATATTTCTATCTTAGCATTATGATAATAATAATAATTCAAAGTTTACTACAGAATTTAAGTTATAGAATAGTTAGAACCTGCAGGGGCAAGATCCCCAATATAATCTGGCATCTATAAATGATAATAAATAAACTTAAGCAGAATCAGTTTTCAGAGGCTAGGCATGTGTGTATCATGAATATGGTATCATCCACTTACCATGAATTGAATTTTATCAAAATAGTTTTGAACTTTACCCCCCCTCCCCGACCTCAGTCCCCTGGCCCCCTGACCGCGCCCGACTATATTTTCGTGGCCCGATAGTGACTCTTGAGTTGATGTAATCTCTAGCTGCAAAGAGCGTGTCTCAGCTTGTGCGATATAGTAGTTTGAGGCTCCAGAGCACTGAGGAAGCAACCGAGATGATAAAACACACAGAATCAACTTCTAGCATGGATGGTAAGAAAATAATATGGACACTCAGTAGGCAATTGCATGATCAGCATCAATACACTTTAGTTTCTAAGACCAATTTTGAATAGACCTGAAATAAAGTTTAATGTTGCATTATAATTGAAAAACCATCCCACTAGTAAGACCACAATTTGATGGATTTCTTTGAACCAGAGGACAGTCTCTCAAAAGGGGCTGTACAGGACCCCGTTTTTCAAAACACATTCCAAATAATTGCATCCCATAGTAGACTAAATGTAGCACATTGTTATTCCACTTGTGTATATACCTATGAACCAGTATTTAAGTCAATACATGCAAAATATTTGTGAATATAACAAAATTAATGGGCCACAAAATACTTTCTGCTCTATTTAACTAGCATTTTTAAATTAATTTGTGGTCAGTGGGTGGGAAATATCCTTGACCATCCCGACATGGTGCATGGGTAGGTGCATGGAATTGCTTGTATTGTAATCTTAGCTATTTATTATTTGTGCTTTTTATTGTGGCTTCTTTCCTTATAGAGTCTGATTTTGTTAATGTTAGATGGACCAAAGTGACAGTATCAGGTCCATCTGGAACTGGGAAATCCTCAACTCTAAAATTGCTCCTCGATGAAGAAGCAGAGACAAAGCACCATAGCACACCAGTAGTCAGAAACATTGAAACGAAAATCATTTTACCAGAAGATAGTGGCAAAAAATGGAGGAAGATTCCAAGCATGGACGAAGCTCTAGAGCAAAGCAAGAAACAAGACAATGTTCATTTTATATATGCAGTTGATACAGGAGGGCAGGCGGCCTTTCTCGATATTGCTCCAGCTCTTTTACGCTATAATTCAGTCAACATTGTCACTCATAAGCTTGACGAGGCCCTTGAAGATGAGACTGCCTTTTATTATAGCATAAATGACAAGAAATATGGTGAGTCTATGAAAAGACAACTCACAAATGAGCAAGTACTGGAATGTTCAATTCGATCTTTGGCCTCGATAAATCCACCCAAGCCTTTTGAAGGTATTGAAGTGCTGCATCCAAAAGAACTTGAAGATACAGATGGTGAGAATAAGCCGTGTTTCATTGTCATTGGGACATTCAAGGATAAGGTCACAGATCCAAGGTCACTGCTAAAATCAAAAAACGAAAAGCTCAAGAAAGTACTCTCAGGATTCAGGAATAATGCCCATATTCTCCAATACAAAGATGATGCCCTAATTTTTCCAGTTAATACCCTTGGTCGAAGCTCCCAAGAACAAGAAATAGCCGATGATATTCGACGTAAAATCTGTGAATCATACATGGAAGCAAGGATACCCAGAAAGTGGTTTCTATTTCAGTTAAAGCTTAACGAGGAAAGCAAAATGAAGGGAGGCATATTGAAAAAATCAGTATGTGATGAGATTGGAGCTAAGCTTTCTCTGACTCCACGTGATGTCAATTCAGCCTTAAAGTTTTTTCATCACCTTACTGCCCTTCTTTATTTTCCTGATATCATCAGTGATACCGTATTTCTCGATTCTCAGCCTCTTTTTGAAAAGCTCTCCAAGTTGATTGCTATTTCCTTTGCTGATGGTGTGGACTATTACGACAAGGAACTGGGGATTGATTTTACAAATAAAATGGCCCCCGACAACATGAAGGATAAGGGAATTTTTGACAACTCCCTACTCGAAGACATTGGCTTTCAGTTCAAAGAGTTCAATTACAAAAGCTTCATGAAGCTATTGGAGAGTTTGCACGTCATCATACAGCTACCTGAAACACAGACAGAAACATATTTTCTTCCTTGTGTCCTTGCTATAGCTAATCCTTTTAAGTTAGACGAGCTAAAACAAAAATTCTCTATAACTACAGACCCTTTTGTGTTAAAGTGGAAGGAGAGGGTTATCCCTCAGGGTCTCTATTGTGCATTGGTTCTTCGCTTACTCCAGGAGGAGGCAATTGGCAGTGAATGCTTCATTGACGTCAAACAGCAATTTAGAAATGCCATCACTCTCCCTTGCAAGTCAAAATTTGGTGGCTCTCTTTTATTAGTTGACGCTACTTCTCATCTTGAGGTCTACTATTTGGGCAAGGTTGAGAACTGCCCTGATATTCGTGAAATCATCTTCTTGCAGGTGATTGAGGCTGCGAAAGCGTTTCATTATGACCTCAGTTCGTCTCGTCCTGATATCTGTTTCATTGATAGCAGTGAGGGGATAGTACCACTTGCCCATTGCCCTATACGCAGCAAGGCATGGTTAAAAAGTAAGTAATTTATTTATACCTTACTTTTAAATTTGAAGTTAATTTGTCATGATAGAGGACGAAAATCCTGCTCCAATTACTGTTGAGGATGAAGAAATAATACCAAGTAAGTGTAATTATTTTATGGCATTATTTGCATGCCATCAATTAATACATGTACAGTGAATTACTAGTCAGGCATTGATTTTATTGTATGCATGTGTTCAGAATATCTCTATGTTATAGTAATTGATTTTGCATGCTTCCATTTGTCAAAATTTTTGTAACCTTTTTCTGGGTTTCCTACAAAGCATACTTAGCTTCATGATGAGCTGACAAGCATTATGGTGCAAATTTAAATATCTATATAAAACCTAAATTTGATTTGAATCACCTCAAGCTTTCTGCTCAAAGTAAGAACATATATATGTATCAAAGAAAATTATAAAAATGGAGAAATCTCTCCTTCTAAATTTTATCACAATTTGGCATGTACTACAATACAGTTGAGCAAAATTCAAAAATAAATAAAAATCCAAAATTGATTTAAATTAACTCATTGTCAATCCATAAAGACATGTATGCACAAATTTTATGAATAAGAGTTCTATTTGCCATGTTTTGATAAACTACAGTGTAGGATATATTTTTTGTCAAATTTTTAAGAAACTTTAAAAAATCCACTGACAGAAGGCTGAATGACCACTATGCCAAACTCTTTGAGAAACATTGGCCTTTTTAACATTAATTTTTTGGCAAAAATTTTGTTTAATATGAACCAATAAATTTAGTAGCTGTTAAGCCTATACTATAGGCCTAAGAGCTACTAAATTTATTGGTTATGAGTTACTGGTTACAAATATCTATGAGACTATGTTCATGTGTTGAGCCTACAGCTATAGCTATTCATTTTGACCAAAAAAGGGACAGATATGTGTACCCCATTATAGTAGAACTAACCAAGCATGTAATGATAATCATGACAAATTTAAATGCTAATCACACCTGCGTCTACATGTACATGTACATGTCGTACAAAACAGGTCACTGCTCAGTCACAATTTCAAATTCAATTGGTTAAATGCCTTTCTTTGCAGGTGTTACTGAGGCTACTAGGTTTTTGGATCAGCGCCAATTTAAGTACAGCAGACATTATGAGAGTCTTGCACTTGCACTGGGTCTCACTGATGATGTTTTGGATACTATTTTAGATGACAGTTCATTCAGACGGACTGCAGAATGCCTTGCAATATGGTTGAAGAACAATCCAGGGAGTAAATGGAAAACCCTGAAAGAGGCTGTCCAAAATGTACTACTAGAAAACTAAATATTATGAATTGTTCATTGAGCATTACATGTACAAATTTATGCTTACCCTTCTTTTATTTTAAAAGTAAATGTGAATTACATTACATGTATTTTATAAATTAATGAAGGTAACTTTCTAACTATAGTCATGAGTTATTTTAAAATGATACATTTTTGTGACAAATTAATGATACATCAATCTTAATGAGCAACAACCTTCAGGTCTTTATAACAAGTTTTAGACTCAAAGTCACAGATCTCAAGCTTGAAATGATGATAAGTCATTCTGATTTTTTCATAATTTTATTAGTAATGCTTAGTAAGCTAGTTCATAACAGATAGACATGTATTCTTGATATTGTTATAGGCATCATTAATGCTTGTATCAATAACTTAATTTTATAACTCTGCAATTACATGTACCTTGGAAAAAAACACACTCTTCAAGGAATTTAATGAGTAGCTGGGGGCGCATATTAGTCAGGCCACTAAGTGCATAATATTTTAGTTATGACAAAAATGATGTACTTAATTAGTTGAAATTCAAAAGCTGTATTTAATTATTTAAAACTTAATGAGCCTTGAATACAAAAGACAAAAAGTATATTTACTACATGGACTTGGCTCACACCTGTGCAGTGTGCATAGATACACCTACATCATTATTTGATTAGTTCTTACAATATGACAGCAACTTTACTCCTTGGTCTGTTTCTATCACTTCTCCTGTGGCATCCTATAATTGGAGACTTAGATGGCAGTGGAAATGTGTTTGAATATGAGCAACAGATGGACAATGCATCTAGCAAAAGTCAGTGACAAAGTTTTCGGAATGTTTTAATATAACTATGGTAGATTCGATAATAGTGCAAGATCTAGAGGTTTTACAAGATCCATTTCTCTATTATTTGGACTACAAGACAGTGTATGTGAACTGTTCTGTTTATGGAGAGTCTCCATTTGAAGTCTCATGGTTGTATAGTACTGATGAGATATCTAATAGATCCAGTGACTACACTATCATCAGTGGTAGTAAAGTGTCTAATATTGTGTACAGTCCTAACTCTGATGATGAAGGATATGTGTGGTGGAACAGTTCTCTTCTTTTAAATCCTATTAATAACT